ATAAATGAGACCTCCAACCCTTCTTATCACTACGATCATTTTGTTCATCTCTGAGGGTTATCAGCGCTTTGAGCGCTTCCTACAAAGTCCATTAAAATTGTTGTAAATGACAGTGTATTTCCATTCGTTTTTCGTACTTGGAGGTATACGAAAATTAATTAAGAATCAAAAAAGTAGAAAACTAGACTAGAAGTATGCGTGCGATGCAAACGCAACTAACGAGACTTAACTTTCGTAAATTTGCATGCATTTGAATCTCGTCTATGGACAAAAGTGGGTGGTGAGAAAATCACCCCTCTCGAGCATTCCTTGGAAAAAAATTCTTCTATCATCACAGAGACAGGATGATGGTTTGAGTAATCAACATGCATCTAAACTATTCGTACACCATTTATAGGGACTTGACGAAATCTTATGAAAGCTATAAAAAACTTACTAAGCTAAATAATGACAAAATCAGTATGCAATCTAGGACATGTGTTCACCTACAATGATATACTCAAAGCAATGTGCAGATACGATCATTTTTTTTAAAATCTCAATAGAAAAGGTTCCAGAGCAAGTAAAATAACCTATCAGTCATCCCTAATCTAAAATGCTTCTATAAGAAAAGAGAATAGGAACGATGCTTATCCGTATCCTCTCCGCTAATCGAAATAATCCCCACTTAACCAATGCTCCCGACAATTTTCCCAAGTTAGCAGATTCAGGGGCACGACAATGGAGTCAAACATGTAAACGCACTTTAGGATCCTTGAAAGAAGATTTTTTCAAATTCTATATTGATAGGTAACATCTTTTGAAAAATGCGCTGTTAGGATGAAGATCGACGGTTCACTGTCCTAACTCTTTTTTTGCTGGGGTGGGGCACAAATAAGTAATCAAATTTCACATTTTAAAGATGACTTTAGGTGAGGAAAGGATCCCAACTCATATCATACTCAACCTTAGCAAACATCAATAGCGCTGTACTTCAAAAAAAGCCATAAGAGCTGTGCTTGCTACATTTCCAAGAAAATAGGCACTGATGTTGCAAGGCACCTCCCCTCGGAAAAAACTCATCTCAACAACATCCCGCTTTGAAAGCCTCCACAATAGAATAAATTCTTCAAAACTTACGTCAGCAGTATGGGTCTGGATCCCACGGTGGCTCGGCGTTCTTGTCGAGCTGAAACTGGCTTGCTCTTAGATGTGGCTCGGCGTAACTGAGGAACAGAACGCCAAGTAGTAGATTCTGAAATTGAAAATTTGAGATTTATTTACTATTATCGA